CGCCCCGCCCCGCCACGCCCTACCGCGCCCCGCCGCGGTCGCGCCTCCCGCGCCCCGTGGCGGCGGCCCGCGGGCTTCCCCAAGGCGGAGCGGAGGGCGGAGGCAGGCGATGCCCGCGATAGGGTGGAGATTGAGAAAATTAGGCGGCAAATATTGTGCCGCGACCGATGAGCCGAGCGTGGCGGGCGGGCGACACTTCCAGCGACACGGCCAGCCACCCACCCCACCCGGCCCATGGTGGGGCGGGGCGGGGCGGGTCAACACCCTAGGAGGGCCCCCCCACGCCCGAAAGGGGTTTGTGTCGGGGCGGCGTCCAAGTTGGGAGGGTGCCATGATTAATGCAGATTATCGACACGAGCAGCGAGAGAGGAGCCCGGCCCGGCCCGCTGCCGCTCCGGTATCGACACCAGCGGGGTGGGTCGGGTGAGCCCCGGTCAGCCGCAGGAGGGGAAGTGGGGCGGGATGCGCATCATTGCGTATGTATGAAGTCTGCCACACTTTACTTTCGAGTCGGCTCATTCAAAATTGATCAGGTGGAATCATTGGCGAAGCATTGTCTGGTGACGTATACGTATACTCTTGCTCGTGGGTGGTAGGTGACCTCTCTACCCACGGAGCCCTATGCCGCCGTGCGAGTATATGCAACCCGTACACACGCACGCCCGCCATTCGGTACAGTCCAACCAGCAGAAAGTGCGGCTTAGAACACCCACCTTGTGCGTGATTCCGAAAAATGATGGAGCCAAAACAGCACTTATTGTTCAGAATGAAATAAAATGACGCATTTGCACGTCGACACAGACGCAATGAGGTCTTCGTCAGAGCGTGTCTGGCAGGGGGCTGAGCTAGCAGCCCTTGGGCGGGCACTGAGTCTGCCTGCAGGGAGTGCAGCCCGCTAGTGCAGCCTGACGCATAGAGCCTGACGTCACAGCCCGCGGCCGGCCCGCGGCCCCGCGCCGAGTTGAAGCACCGCTGCCAATGTATTTGTCCCGTACCCTATAGCAACCGCGCTATGGCCACCCCCAAGGGGCACAGCACCCGCGTCTTTGGCCTCTCTGGGTCTTATCAGTGAGACACGAGACACACGCACTAGAGTTCGACTAGTCGGAAATTTTTTTCGTAAAAAAATTCAAAGGAGAAGGAAAGCTTTAAAAAAAACAAAATCATAAAAGTCAGAAATATTAGGAAAAGCGGATAGAAAATGTTGTCAATAGGTACCCAAAGACTAACTCCAGTTAATAATCCTTTCTCAAAAAGAATGTCCACAGACCTCTTTTGAAAGTTGTGTAGGTAATTAAATTTCATTATAACACATGTAAGGCGAGTTCTAAGCAGACGTCGAAATTCGTCATATCCTTGTAAGTTCAAGCTAAGACTTGGCACTTCAATTTCCAAGGAATTACTTTAGCTCACACCTCACAATCAGACTCTGGACAGCGTGAGCCCGCGCGTGAGCCCGGCCGGCACCCGTCCTGTGGGGCTGGGGACCGTGTGGGACCGAGAACCGCCGCCCGCCCCCCGCGCGCCCCGCGCCCCGCCGCGCCCGGCCGCCGGCCCACGAGGTATAAGAACACTCCGGAGGCTGGGACGGTCATCAGTTGGGCAGCACACCGCGGCACAGTCGGACAGGCGACAGCAGCAGCTTTGCTTGCATTTGCCTTTTCCGAGACCGTCGGTTGCAGACCTCTGAAACAGTAGAGAAAAAACTACAAAAAAGTGTGAAAGTGCAAAAAACAACAATTGTGCGGAAACCGAACTTGACGGCTATCTTCACCATCATCGCGAAACAGTGTGTCAGTGCTGCAGCAGGTTTCGTGTTTGAGTGATACAGTGCGCAAGTTCAACCGGACCGAGTGCCTCCTCGTTCGCTACTTCAGCCCAGCGTGGATATTACCTCTCGCATCAGGTGGGTACTCGTCGGCAGCCGACGGCCAGCCGGTCACGTTGACCTCCTGAGCCATCAGCCCTTTGCTGACGACCAACTTTGCTCCTTGCAGAACATGACGATGACCGCTCGACGCGTGGCCCTGTGGGCGTGTGTGGCGGTGAGCGTGGTGGCCGTGGTGGCGGCCTGCACGCAGGGCGGCAAGCGCCTCATCAGCCGCGGGGTGAGCTGCCAGGACAAGCAGGTGATCCTCGACACCCACAACCGGCTGCGGCAGAGCGTCGCCCTCGGCCGAGTGGCCGGCCAGCCCGGCGCCGCCAACATGATGGAGATGGTGAGTAGTGCGCAGCGGCAGAATAAAACAATCCAAACGCTCGAATAATTTGCATAAAACTAACGATATTTTGATCGTGTCTTTCAGACCTGGGACGATGAGCTAGCGGCCGTGGCGCAGCGCTGGGCCGACTCCTGCCTCCCCGGCCACGACCACTCCCGCCATGTCTGTAAGTATCGCGACACAACCTCGCAACCTTTACACACAAACTTCTCTCAAATCGGGCGCGCGGTTCCGCGGAGCGACTCTTAATCGGCCGTCTGTTTAGCGCGCTGCGGCCGCGCGGCGGCCGGGAAGTCGCGGGCGACTTATCGATCCGAGTCGATAGCGGTGCGGCGCGGAGGCCCCGCGGCGCGGCGGCCGTTTAGCACTCTCGACTCTGACTCACGTATCTCTCTCTTTCTCTCTCTCCAGCGCGCTTCTACGTGGGCCAGAACATCGCCACCTCCTGGACCTACCCCCGTCCCAACGCCCTGGGCGCCACCCCCGAGTTCGCCAAGCAGATCACCAACTGGTTCAACGAGGTGCGCGGCTACAGCTTCCGTTCCACCAGCTCTGCCACCGGCCACTACTCGCAGCTCATCTGGGGCGACTCGCACCTGGTCGGCTGCGGCTACGCCTACTACCACGACCAGAGCCGCGGCTTCACCAAGGTGTACGTCTGCAACTACGGCCCCGGCGGCAACGTCGCGGGCTACGCCCCCTACCAGATCGGCGCGCCCGCCTGCCCCCTGTACGGCACCAAGCCCTCCTCCAACTACCCCGGCCTCTGCTGTAAGTATCTCCCCATTCGCTTGTCCGTCACTTGTTTTGTTTTTTCTTCGCGGAGATCTAACCTCACCCTCCCCTCCTCCTTGCAGCGACCCACGGTTACTACGGCAGCAGCGGCGTGGCCTGCTACGGCTAAGTGGACGAGCCCCAACGCTGCGGTCCCGATGAGGTCCCCGACCTTTGCCACCCTGCGCTTTTGTGGCCCAGCAGGCCAGCAGGCCAGCAGGCCAGCAGGCCTGCGGTGAGGCGCGGCTGCCCAGCCCCGCCGCATCGCCCCAGCCGATGGCGCGCTGCCCCCCGCCCGCCAACCCTCCAATGCAGCGCTGGCCGCCGTACCCGAGGGACGGGCCGGGGCCCCCCACACACGTTGCCAAACGGTTCACTAGTCTAGTCAGAATGGGACTTCATGTACCAGCCGCCAATCGATAGTTTCTTGACGGCACCGCCACGCAGCGGCCGCTTTGTCGCTGGGTGCGTCCGAGAGCCCCAGATGCCAGCCCGGCCGTATCATCATAATGTTGTCGAATCCACACTTTCTAGCTAAAGTTGTGGTGATTTCGCTCAGCATTTGGCGCAACTATGCAGTTGCGCCGGCCGCGGGGTCGGCGCACCGCCATCATTGACCGATCGATTTACTTTTGTTTACTTGTACTGAACTTTGTTGTAGTTTTTAAGACGTATTTGGCGATAGTTCGTAAGAAGTAGTCGCGCTCGCTTTTCGGGCGGCCGAAATATTCGTTGTTTTCCAATTGTTTGCCAAATAGAGCCTCACCGCCGCTAGCCGGTCGGTGGGAGTCCCAGTGGCGCCTCCGTGCGCTGAGGCAGGATGTAGACTTAAGGATTTCCAGCCTGTGATATCGGATCGATGCCCGTAATGCCCGCTCAAGACTGTGCTCAGTGTGTACATAATCATTGTTATGAGCCCGGCTGATTTTGTGAAAAAAAAAAAGAAGTCGAATGATAAAGTATGTCGTTTATGTCATAACCATATTAAAACTTATATGAAAATGAAACGAATCTAGTCTACACACTTTTCAAATACCACCTTATATTCTTTATCGTCGCCTCGTTTCGCGCCTCGCGCCGCAGTTCCAAGAATCTATCTGTCTAGCCAGCTACACCCCCCAATTGGTTCTGGAGATGTCAATCTCGAAGCGCCGCGCCCCACCAGGGTAAACGTCAACCGACTTTCTAACGGCATTTTCCTCCCTTCCTACTTTTTCTCTCCCTTCCCATTGCCTTCTATTAGTCCAAGCTTTGTCTCCTCTGCCTTCTATCTCCTCTCTGCAGACTCCTCTCTGCGCCCTGCCCTATCGGGTTAGAGGCACTTCATACTGGTCCACCTGGTGCAGTATTTTGACAAGAGTGATGCTGTTGTGGTCCAACGCCCCCGACACAAGTGAGCCGATGTGATAGCGCCTGCCTAGCCGTGCTCTGGACCGCTGATCGCGGGTATTTTTCTCAGATACAGACTGGGATGTCTGTTCTTTAGATAGCTGGCAGCCGTTCTTCAGAGCATCGAGCTATCGACACAAACGAGCCGGCGGCGGTGTCGCGACGTGTTGTTTAGTGATCGGACAGGAAGGAGAAATTAAGCTATTCTATTTAGGCCACTATACAATTGATATGTATTTCATGATATGTAAGTTTCTTTTTTTCACATTAAAGCACAAACGATAGGTATTTGGTATACAGACTGAACACACGAAGCACATTTTGCTCATTTTTGACATGAAGTTTATTCTAAATTTATTGCACTGCTAGCTTTTGTCTTCGTCGTGAAGCGTCTCTTGAAGCGAGGCAGCAGAGGAAACGCTCCTTTCATTTAATGGGATAAAATAGTGAAACTAGCCAATCGTATGATTGTAAAATTATAGACGCTGCATGACAATTCATATAAGACATTGACAGGTATAAAACAGTGTTGTCACTCTACGCGTAGGACAGTGTCTCTGCTTGCTGAAAAGATAACGTTACCTATTGATCCATCAATAATAATTTCACCATAAAAAGTGTACAAAGCAAAGAAAATCATCTCCATCTACATTCAATTAATTCAATTATAATCATTACGAGTGCAAAAGTTGAAAAATAGTATTTCAGATTCACAATATCTTGCCTTTGAAATAAAGACGCATATAGGTGTTATCGCACCCATACACGAGGTACTAGGGCGCCCCCATGTTCTACGTGCCCAAGCGCCTCGCGCCCAGCCCCACGGAACCCGCGGCACGCACTGCGGGGCGTTACCTCTCAAAGAGTTTTGGTATCTCTCAAAGGGATTTGGTAACTCGAAAAATAGAAAAAATATATAATGGAGGAATTTCTGTCATACACACCCGCAGATCGTTATTATGGATTGTTGAAATATTGCGAAATCAATCACGTCAATTTAGGCCAGTTGTGGAAACGTGGTCTTTCATTAGTCCCTTCGCGATTATTGTTTTTAAAGTTCGCATTGAGCCGTCGTCTTGGGTGTTTAATGATCCTACGCCTGACGATGAGGTACATAAATGTCCATAAGTGTAGGTTGAACACAAATTAAAGTTAGGAACGACCACGTATATCGGGCATGAGAAATTCGTGGGAATTTTGATGTTTACCCCAAAATTAAGGGTTTTTTTGCAGGGGCTGGGCTGGGTTGGGACGCGTGGGTCGTTAAGGCTACGGGGGCCTACAGGTACAAGATTGTCTATACTGAGCACTGTACTAGGCCTAAAGTCTATACCATTACGCAACGCTCACGCCCAGACCAGAGAAAGCTTCGTCATGTAAGAGACTACAAGGCGAGGCAGGCTGCCCGGGGCCCGATCCACATAGCTCAGAGGCGGAAAGGGGTGCAAAAAAACAAAAACAAAAAACAAAACAAAAAAAGAAAAAAAGACCAAAAAACTCACTTTTGAAACTGTCACTTAAACGAACGACTGACAGTCGACAGAGTGACGTGCAAAACCGAGCGTTAAGAGGGGAGGGGGTCGTGGCCACGGTCAGTGTCCAACCCTTTTATTATATTGGGCTGATTCTTGATGATAGTATTCATTGATTCTGAGTGATAAAAAAACCTTCCTTCGCCCAGTTTTCACCCACTTTCGTCAAGTTTGGTCCCACTTAACTCCCCACGGATACGGGCGTGGCGCCGCCGCCACACGTTCTCTGATCGACAAACCGACAAACCGAGGGGTAATGTATTCACCCCCAAAATATTAACATGTGCTGCCTCGAAAAGAGGGACTCTAGCAAAGCACGCAGGTTTCCCGGCAAGTAACATATTTTCTATCTTTCTTTTTTTTTCTTTTCACATTTTGACACTGTATCACGAAAGGTTTCCTCCCCACTCGCTATCGACTGCCCCCTCTCCCTCCCCCGCCCTCCGTAGAGCTACGTGGATCGGGACTCGGACACACTGAAGCACAAACGGTCACCAACTAACACACACACACACGCTTCCCTAATTCTAACAAGGAAATACCTCGACAAAAATCGCAGTGATGATCACATCTGAGAAAGTGACTTGTACAATAGTACAGCTATAGGTATCTTGCCCATGAAATATGATATGTATTGACTTTGATATGTATCTTTTATACATATGTAGCGCAAAGGAACGGCTTAGACCGTCACGTAGGCTTTTATATTCTCTACAGGGAAGAGGTAGGCTCACCGGGCCGAAGACCAGAGCAAAGAGATCAAAGAGTGTGGCCACCTCACAAAAAGTGTCAATACAACGTAAAATCCTATGTTTTAAAAAAATGATATGTTCATTGAGTCTCTAGAGCAATAGACCTACTTTTAATGCCACTCATTTTCCAGTCATGTCGACTAATCAGAATGAAAGTCAGCTTGTTGGAAGTCCCCCCGCCCCCCTCCCTCAGATTAATGCCCGACTTTTCAACCCATCGTTCAGAAAAAATGTCGGTTGTAACTTAAGTATTCCCATCTTGGCCCTTTACAATTACTAAAGGAGACTGTGCTATGGTACAAATATAATACAGAATATAACCTCATATAAGACGCATATAATTTAAGTCGCACTTAACTTTTCTTGATATGTATCGCAAAAATGATATGTTTTGCCAATGACATCCAGCACACGTACAGGAAAACTACGAAGGAAGAGGAGGAACAGCAAATGGTACGCACATCCTGTCCGTAGCGGGTTAGTGTTTTGTCTACACAAGCAGTGCGCGAGTAAACCTTATATCACAATAATTAGTTACGAGTGTGAGGTCACGGCTCGCATGACACTTGCACTGTCTTCTTCCGGCGGGGTCGCCAACCGCAATGCACCACAGGAGAGAGGCGATGAGGCGAACAGTTTATAGGCACAGTCATTAATTTCATGGTTGGTAGCCCTGTCGGCATGCGCGCGAGCGCGCGGCGCGACAGGCACACAACGGGTATATACGGGGTTCGTATGTCGTGGCATCGTAGAGTTTCCGTTTCCTTTTCACCTGGCCGGGAGCGCGGTACACAGGCGGCTGTCTTGACGTTTAGTTTGATCCCTTGCTTGTGCGAACAGGGTAGACACTATGCTTAAAAACTAGAGCGTATTACTTGGACACACTTTCTCTCCAGCATGCCAATCATCAGAGGGTCCCGGAAAAGCGAGCAGGGCGACAGCAGAAAGGTGTGCCGTACCACTTGGTCTGTACAACAAATCGATACCCGCCCTGGCGCATCGACATCGACACTTTCATTTTCCTTGAGCGGAAATCAGACCAGCGTAATTATTCCTGGGCATTTCCAGCCTTCTTTGCTTTCCGGCCAGATCGGATTGGGGGTCGGGCCCGGCTGGCTGCCTGCCCGGTGAGCTTGAAGCCACCCAGGATCCCGTTGAAACACTTCCCACACTTGCCGCGCTCTAAGATGACGGGCCAGCGGTGCCCGACCCCCCGCGAAATAATGAGACAAGAAAACATGACAAGTATAAGAGTACAAAACATCCCACAGCCTTCTAAGATGGCACCAATCGTACCTCGCCTCGGCTGCAGTTCTAGAAGGCGGATCTATGTGGCAGTTTACTTTGTTTTTGGCGGAGTAAATGGAAATACACTAGGACCCAAAGACATAGGCACTCTAGTGTTCAGTTGGCCGACGGCATCGACCGGCGGGTAGAGCCTCGACCAGCAGTCCCTGAGCCGAGCACTGTTCTGTCCGAGGGCTGCCCGAGCAGCGACGTCGCCGGGCAACACAGGGAAGGGTGGGCGATTATTTTGGACAGCAAAAACATCGGTTTGTAAACTCGTAACAGCGAGTGAGGCATCGAAATGAGGTCTAGGTGGCCACGAGAGGTAGAGTCAGTCGAAAGGGGTTGTAATCACTGCCACGCTCAGCAGCCCTGCCGCCTCAGCGAGGTGCGACCGAAGCCAGCTTCACTAAACATAAGATACAATACGTGTTGTCTGCCTACCGACGAAGCGACACAGATTTCGCTAATAACAAAGACAGGCAGTACGTAGGGAGCGTGCCGCTAGAGGACGCGGCGGCGGCAAAGAGAGAAAAACAGGCCGGCAGACAACAGAGTGTGAGAGAGATGACAGACACATCAATTACTTTTTTTTTTTTTTGCTTAACAAACACTTAAAATTTGTGACGTATAAAAAGAGAGCGCGGGCCGCGTTTTGCGAGTCGACGCATTTACAAAGGCCCACGCACAGGAGTCCGCCGGGCAGGCGGTCGAGGCCGGCCCGCGGCCGCCGCGCTGCCCGGGGCCTGGGCATTTCAATACAGAGTCGAGTACGGCGGGTTGTGCTACGCCCTGGGGTGGCGCGGAGCTGCGCGGCGGCGCCCTATGGGGCCTGGTGGCCGCCCTGCCGGGCCTGCCCGCCGCGCCCGTCGCGTGTCGTCGTCGTCGTCGTCGTCGTCCTGGGGCCCTCCCCGGGGCCCTTGCACGGGCTCGCCTACAGCTGCAGCAGCGCCAGCAGCGCCAGCGCCGCCAGCTCGGCCGCCCAGCGCGCCCCGCGCACCTGCGGGCCGCCGCCGTTCAGCACACCCGTCGAGGAGTTGTTGGCGATCGCCGTCGGAGACTCCCCGTCGCAAGAGTCACCGGCTGCAACACGCGTCCACATTCACGGTAAAATCAATGTTAATGGAAAGGAGTCTTCAGCTTTGGAGGAAGTCTCCTCAAAACAGGGGCGGATGAGAATTTATCCTAATCCCTCACTGGTAATTTAGTGTTTTTCGATAAATTTTGTGATTTAAGTAACTAATTTTCATTAAAAATTAAAATTTTGGGGAATGAATTTTAGAAATCTTTTCCCCCCTAGGTTGTAACTCACAAGAAGTAGTGGCTTACCTGAGGTGTTCCTTAGTCGCGGCAGGAAGTCGTTCCAGAAGGCGCAGGCCTTGGCTCGGGGCCCCTTGCCCACGCCGCTCGTCTCGGCGTTGAAGATGAAGTACTCCTGCTTCTCGCGCGAATACGTCGGCCAGTACACGTCGTCCATCACGGGTTTGCTGCGGGGACAACGGAGCGAAAGGATGTACCACGGTCCCGTCACCAACACACACAGACATTTGCATTCTGAATCTGAACTGCCCTGCTTGACTTCGACAAACTTAATCCATAAATACAAGTTAGTTCTCATGTATTTTGCACGTTTCTAAAATCTACAGTTAAACAAAGGATTATCCAGAAAGTAGGTAGTCCGTCATTCGCCGTTTACGGAACCGCCAACGAAGGTCAGCCTCTACAAGTTCTCAGAGCGCCTAGTAGGTAGGCAACATCTCGCCTGCAGTGCACGCGTGTACTGCGGGGCGGCCTACCCTCAGTCTCGCAGGCGCCCTTACCCAACATGAATCTGAGAAGAAGTGGACGAACTTTTTAGGACGTCGGCGAAAATCTAGTTCAACAGGGGGACAGTGCTCTTCACTGTACCAAACACGCGTAGACTACTTACCCGGTGAGTGCGAAGCGGGCGTAGGCCTGGGTGATGCGCAGGCTGAGGTCCCGCTCGCGTGCGTTGTACTGCAGGCTCATGTTGAGCGGTAGCCCAAAGACGTACTCAATCTCCGAGCCGTGGATCACGCCCATCCAGTCAGCCCAGAGGTTCGTGCTCGTGCGCTGCAACAGAGGGCGTATCGTGAACTATACCGCGACCAACTGGAGTGCTTTCAGTGCCGTTCTTTTTCTCTCGCCACAATCGCTAATAACAGGGGGAGGAGGAAACATAGAACAAGGCGACTGAAAATAAAGAAGAAGGATTCCCCTTTTATTCTCCTCGTTTTCTCCGTCGTCGTGGTAAGAGAGCTACGGGTCCAAATGGCGCGGGCCTCGCGCGTCGCAGATGATGTCGCGGCAGTCGGGGGAAAGTTATGACAAGGGGCTGAGGGCTCGCACCTGGCCGCAGCTGGGCGGGGGGAGGCCCCCCCTCCCCTTCCCTCATGGTCCACCGCGCGCAGCTTCCCCCTCCCCGCCTCCCCTCCTCTCGGCGGAGGGGGTACGGCGGCGGCAGGGGTGGCTTGAGCACAATTTGTATTGATCGGGAGCACGTAACCGTAGAGGTGCCTGTGCTCGCGGGCCCCGGGCAACATTACGTCCGCGAGCACGTAGCGTACGTGCGGCACGTACGCCGCGCGCACCGCGCACACGATGTGGCGTCAACACATGTCAGTCGGGACGAGGCGGGACGGACACGTTCGAGGAGCAGGGTGACGGCGGCGGCGGCGCGGGGGTGGCCGCCTACCGCCTCCACGCGCCCCCCGCGCACAGCATCAGGCCGGGGGCGGGCAGGGGGCGGACACCGGGGGCGGGAAACGAGGGCAGCGGAACCACGCTGAAGTGATTGAGTACGTAAATCACCGAAAGGCTCGGCTCCACGTCAACTCACACACACGCTCATCCTTTCACACTCACAGACACACACACAACAACGCATACTACACACCAGCCCACACCGCAGGTTGGGGTCCGTGCTGAAGTGGTTCGTGCCGCGGCACGTTCTCACCCTGTCCGTACGGTCGAGCGAGAAGTGTGCGGAACGGGGAGAGTAGAGAGGGCAAGGAAGAAAGAGAGAGTGCGAGCGAGAGAGTGAGAGAGAGCGTGTGTGTGTGAGAGAGAAAGAAAAAGAGCGACGGGGTGGTGGAAAGGTTGAGGGGTAAGGCATGTTTTCAATCACAGGATGGAGCCAGCCGTCTGCCCTGCCCGGCCCGGCCCTGCCCTGCCTCGGCCGGAAAGGCCTGGGGGCAGCGCGGACGAGGTGGAGAGGCCAGCAGCGGCCAGCAGCGTGGCGCCGCGCACCGCGTGCCGCGGCCCCACCGCGCGACGCGGGGCCCGGATAACATCAGATTATTACTACTTGTTGTCGCCACCCCGGCCCGCCCCGATCCGTCTCAGTAAGTCGAGCCAATACTAGTAGTAATATGGTAACGTAATGCGGAGGGTTTATCTCGCAGATCAGCCACACGGTGAAAATTCTCTTTTGCATTTCAAGATCCGGTCTTGCGGATGCCAGTGGCGTTATAAGATCCAAGACCGGGTCTTGGAACTCAAGGAAATTTCATTCTCGCTCACTGAAAGAAAATATGGTTTTGTGAAAGATTCCGAATTTTGTGTGTCCGTTTGCAACCCATTGAAAGTTTTCAGTTTCCAGCTGGTCGCTTCTTGAGATGGAGTCAAGGAGGCATCGGCGGGGACGCGGCGCTGCGGGGCGTGAGCCCGGGGCCGCCTGAGCCCCTCAAAGGATGGCCCCTGTGCCATGAGCAGCTCATTGCTTGACGCCGAGTCCAGTCGGGGCAGGGGCGGGGGCGGGGGCGGGGCAGGGGGTGACTGCTTGGAGTCGCTTTGCTCGTTGCGTTTCCGACAATATTGCCGCTAACGAGGGGGGAGGGGGCTTGCCCAGCAGGCCGGGCCGCCGGGCCCTGCGGCGAAGGGCACGAGAGAGCGACAGAGAGAAGGAAATGGAGAGCGAGAGAGAGAAAGGGGGAAGGGGGAGTAGGGGGAGGCCGCAGCCCACCGCACCGCACCCAGCCGCCGCCACACCGAGCAGGGGAGTTCCTTCCTCCCCCACTCCAGGCCCAGGGCGTCGTTACAACCAAGGACGAGTAGGAGCGCGAGTCCCTCCGGGGCCCTGCGGGGCCTGCTCGGCCAGCTCGGCGCTGCTCCCTCCGGCACCCCTCCGGCACCCTCCGGCACCCCTCCGGCACCCCTCCGGCACCCCTCCGGCACCCCTCCGGCACCCTCCGGCACCCCTCCCGGCACCCCTCGGCCCCCCCGGCGCGCCTGCCGGGTCCCTGCCGGCGCCCTGCCCCCAAATGGCCGGGGCGGGCCGGGCCGGGCCAGCCCACCC